TGATATTTATTTTTGTCAAACTAATTTTTATTGTAAAAAAAAATTAAAAAACATATTTCTCAAAATGAAACTATACAACATCGGGGATTATCACACCTCAAGTTTTTCAATAATTCAAAGGTTGTGAGTGTTTTGAAATTAGAGGGAAAAAATTTTTTAGGATAGAGAATCCTTTACTAACAATAAGGGATTAGCAGGAAGCGTGTTACATTGATAGTCAAAGATTGAAAATGTAGAGCAAAGAGAAAAAGAGAGGAGGGAAAGAATATAACAATAGGTGTTTTGGTCATTTAAAACATAACTTGTTTGTAATTTATTTTTGGATCATCCCATCTCTATTGCAATTTTTAAAAGATTCCAATAGTGCATTAGGTTTTTGATAAATGATTGGCACAATGCAATGGGACAAAAGAATGTACACACACATATGTCTCCATCAAGTGGTTAGGCATAGCATGGCATTGCGACATGACAAATTTAGGTAGTAACTCATGTCGTGACCAACTTCAAATCTTTAATCTATATAGCTATCAATTTTTCATTTTAAGCAAGACAACTCAGCTCATCAATCCTTCCTAACATCCTAAAAAGACATTACTCTCATCTTTTTAATTATCATGGTGTAAGAGGGGGCTAATTTGAGCCCACTAAATTATTTAGGCCCAATAGCCCAATATTAGTGAGCCCGAATTTATCGCAAGTCCAAGAATCGGTGGGCCCAGATTTATCGCCATCAAATGGGTTGAATCGCTCTAAGCCTCGAAAGGGTTCGGATCCACGAACCTAGAGACTTACTCGGGCCCGGACTCAAAAGGATATTAAGAAAGCCTAGAGATCCGAGGCACTCTAAGCCTCGAAAGGGTCCGGATCCACGAACCTAGAGACTTACTCAGGCCCGGACTCGAAAGGGTATTAGGCAAGCCTAGAGATCCGAGGCATTCGGACTCGAAAGGGTTCGGATCCACGAACCTAGAGACTTACTCAGGCCCGGAACTCGAAAGGGTATTAGGCAAGCCTAGAGATCCGAGGCACTCGGACTCGAAAGGATTCGGATCCACAAATCTAGAGATCCGAAGCACTTGTAAATCTCATCTCATGTAAAAATAAAAAGATTATCGAATTTTATGATCAAATTTGTACACATAGAAGAACTACATAGAGATTATCACAGGTCAGGTTTAAGGTGAGTTAGTCTTGTAAGTTGAAGAATGAGAATATTAATAAAAATTATAAATAAAATAGTATTTTACGGATATTGATTATACTTAATGAGAATTATAAGATAAAAAACAAATTAGTAAAAATTAATATTAAGTATAATGTTTTAGTGTTTTGATTTTATTTTAATGAAAAAAATTAAATTTTATATATTATATTCATATAATTCTATTAAATAAAAATAATTGGGGTGAGGAAAGCAAAGTTAAATTTGTCCCTGCAAAATGGGCAGGGAAAATCCGCGCAGGTAGGGCGAGGCAGGAAAAAATGACCATACCTAATTCTTACATCTTACTAGTAGGTGACTAGTGAGTTGTGCGAAAATTTATAAAAATAATTTTTCAAACAAATTTACTAATGACTGGTGAAAATTTTTATCATTGTGTATGATCCTATGTAAAAGGCTCATAAAAATAATTTTTTTTAAAGTTAAAAAAAAAAAGAGAGTGTATTCTCAACTTGAAATCAAATTCTCATTTGTGTTAATCAAATTTACTAAAATCATGAACTCCACTTGTATCAAAGCCTTCATTTGGAATGTGTTGGCTTTTTGATTTTTTTGTTATTTTAGCCTAGGACTAAAAAGTCTCGTTTGGGATAGAAATTTTTGACTTTTTTGAATTTTGTGAGAGAAAAAATGAAATGATTATGATTTGAATGTGACATTTTGTCTTATTTGGTTAAAATAGCTAATTTTGTCCTATATGGCTATTTTAGCCCAAATGAGCATGCCAAACATGTATTTTTTTCTAAAAAAAATAAAAGTATCAGAAATTTCTATAATATTCAAATTATTATGGTTATTAATCGAAAAGGTCTTTACTAATTTTTTATGTTTTTGGTTATGTCTAAAGTGTATGTTGTTATTTTTTAATATAAATGTTTTTCATATTCTTTAAAAAAAAGAAGAAGAAGAAGAAGAAGAAGAAGAAAAGTGCACGGGTCTTTAATTATGTATGCTTTAAGTGGTGTTTAATTATGATCTATTACAAAAAAAAATTAAATTATAATATTTAAGTATTTTATTACATGAAAAAGTGCTTAAGGTGGATTGATTATGCTTATATTAGTAAGATTTTGAGAGTTATTCACATTAATACATAAAAAATTACAAATTCAAATCATAAACAGTATCTTCAAAATCTCTATAACCTTAATAATTCTAATTCTCACAGAAGTTCTAATTAATTATTATATATATATATATATATGTAGTGTTTTTCCTTACTTAGGTGGCATATTCTAAATTCAAAAATTTTATTTAAAAATTATTTAAGAAACATCAACATGTGCCTTAAATATACACAATCATTTTTGATGAATCATTATTTTTTAAAATAATACTCCACACTATTTATCATTTGATATTTGTCAATTTATCTTCTAACAACTTAACCAAAAAAAATATTAAGTTTTATTATTTTAATCAATCAATATCAAGTTGGACGCTATACGTGCATGTAAATCACTCATAAAAATATGATGTATAACATATAATTACAATGGAGTTAACTTTAATCAATGTAATGGTATTTTATATTATGATATGTGTCACAAAAGAATAATATTAATATTAATTTTAATTTTAATTATTTATTTTAATAATCTTAGCATTATCGTTCTATAAAAATGTTAGTTGAATACTTACATATAATAAATTTAGTTAAATTATTTGCTTATTTTGACCATTTTAGTTCTATTGTGCTATAAAAGTATAATTACCATATAATGATTTTATATGATATATATTAAATTATAAAATAGTAAAATAAAACTCATTTTTATATAAAAAAATAATAGTTAAATTAGAAAGAGAATTAGTAATATAAAACTAAAAATGATTCTAATTACTTATTTTTATTTGGAAAATAAAAATATGTAGAAATAGAACTACACAAAATTTATTTAAAAATTAAATATAAATATATTTTGATTGGATTAAAAAAAAACATAAATTAATTATGTAGAGTAGTAATTTTTCTTTAATATTCTTTTTGAATTATTCATACATATTGTATATAAGTATATAAAATTTAAATTAAATATAATTTTTTTGTAATAAATAATTTCATGTTAAATAAAAAATTAAATATAAATTAATATTAAGATATCGACAAGATATACAAAAAATAAAAAATATAAAAGAAAATTAATTTGATCCGTGCGATGCACATAATTAAATACATTTTGTCTTATTTATTTATTTGTATATCAAAATAATTTTTTTTTTCAAATATCATAGCAATTAAATTAAAATATCAACTATATAAAAATATATGGAAAATAAGTATTCCTTAAATAGAGTACATATAAAATTGGTTATTATAATTGAAATTGAGTTTGTGTAGAACTTTATATGTAAATGAAAAAGACATACTGATATGATTTTTTTAAAAAAAATAAGCCTTTAAAATGTGCCACTTAAATAAAAGAAAACACTACTTTTAATAATATATGTATATATACATGATATGGTGCCATCAGTCAATAAAATATTCCAAAATATATCTCCCACTAATACATAGTTCCAACTATTGAATATAAAATTTTTCATTAGTCAGTGATAGTGACATATGATATTATCAATATATCTAATATTTGATATTACTGAATTTGGAAAAAGTTATTTCTGTGTGTTTTGAACTTATTCTTCAACATGTTTGTGTGATTTTATCTGTAAATTTCTCTGGCATTTGACTTTCTCTGATTTTTTATTAATGTACGTTTCTTCTTTCAATTTTCTTTGGCATGTTTATTTTCACAAAAATAATTTTTTGTGTTTTTATCTTATTCTTGAACATGTTTCTGTAATTTTGTCTATAAATTTTCCTGCTCCGTAAATTTCTCTGTAATATGTATTTTTAATTAGAATGTCTATCTTAGTCTGGAATGTCTATTGCTTTCTTGCCTCTTTCTTAAGTTTCTCTGGTATTTATAATTTTCTCTGACCACATCACATCACTTTCCTCCCTTGTGTGTCTTTGTCATTTTTAATTTTCTCTGGAATTTTAATATTATGGACTGGAATGAATGTTTCTTCTTTGAATTTTCTCTGCCATGTGTACTTTGAGAAAAAGTTACTTCTATATGTAATTTAAACAATTATTGAAAATTTCTCTCCCATGTTTATGATGCTATGTTTATGATGCTGTGTTGATTTTCTCTGACATTTAATTTTTAATGTCCAATTTTCTCTGGCATGTCAAATTTTCTCTGGCATGTCCAATTTTCTGTAATTTTCCCTTATCTGTAATTTTCTCTGGCATCTCCAATTTTCTCTTTTCTGTAATTTTCTCCCTTATCTGTAATTTTCTCTGACATGTCCATTTTTCTCTGGGATTTAATATTGACATCTCTATGTTTTAATCATTGTCTAGAAATGGCAAAACGTAAAAGCAGCGAAACACCGGAAACACCAAGCAAAAAACAGAAACTCTCTCAGTCTTCTTATGGACTAGGATAAAAAACCAGCAGCAAAACACTAGAAACACCAAGCAAGAAAGAACAACTCTCTCAGTCTTCTTATCATCTAAGATCAAAAACCAACACCAAAACACCACAAACTCCTCTCCAAAACACACAAGTCCAAACTGATGAAGCAACTAGCATCCAGATGAGTACCCCAACTTCAAAAGACTCAAGCTCAAGGGAGAAAAAACCTGTTAAACTCCATAGAAAGAGAGCTCACTACAGCATTCAATTCCGATCCAACCTCTCATCTGTCGTCTCCGTTTTTCAAACACTTAAATTCAATTCAAAACATCTTCTAGAGCTTCAAAAGACCCCATTCTGGTATTTGATCCAAGCTCTAACCACTGGAAGGATGGATCCAAAGAAATCCAGGAAATCCGATGATGATGTAGTTGCCATAATCCAATGTTACAATGAAAAAACAAAAGCATTCACAGTTAGGAAGAAGAACCTGACCTTTACAACAAATGACATGACCTTGATTTTTGGTTTGGAAGGAGGTAAAGGAGCCATGTCATTAAGATACTCTAAAAAACCAAAATCTGCATTCCTCAGGAGAAGATTCCAAAAGGACACAAGGCTCACTGGTCCTGTTCTTAAAAATGCCTTGGTTAAAGCAATGAAAGGCAAACAACCAACTGGCTTCAAAGATGTAGCAATCATTGTTACATTGTACTTGTGTCTCACCCTATTTTTTGCAACAAGTGGGAATTCAATAGGTTGGGTTTTTATAAAGTATGTGGAACCTCTTGAATCAATGAAACAGTATGATTGGCCGGAAGCAATCACATCAACATTGATTGATTCTATCATGGCATTGCACAAAACTCTAGAAAAAGTTATGGGGTGTGTCATTGCATTGCTGGTAAGTATAATATCCATTCAAATTTATAATTATCATACTTACAAATTTGTGTGTTTACAAAATTTTATTTACTTTCATTTTCATCACAGTATTGGCTATGTGAACATGCAACTATCATTGACTCGGAAGACAGTAACACAACTGACTTTCCAAGATGTGCCAAGTGGATCCTGCAAACCTTGACGAAACAGCTGCAGAAGACACCAGTCCACTCTCTTGCACCTCGACAGGTTAGATTCCTATTGCTACTGAAATCTCAGTGAAATTCCAAAATTTCTCTGACCACTGCTTTGTTTCCCTCCTTGTGCATTGATTAATTAAGATCAATTTTCTCTGAACTATCAATTTATGTTTTCTTCTTTGCTTACCACTGGTCTAGTTCTGCCATTGTAATCAATTTTCTCGGCCATCCAAATTTCTCTGACCACAATTGTAACACATTAACTGATTTGCCCTGATTGATTTTCTCTAATATCTGAATTATGTTGGTTGTTTCATAATTTTCTCTGGCCCATCAAATTTTATCTCCTTGTGTGTAATTTTCTCTGCCCATAACTTATGTGCCTTGCATCTTTGATAAACACTGTTTATTTCTACCCTTCTAATGAATTTTCACTGGAATTCAAATTTCTCTGACACAATTATAGTAAAACATTAACTTATATGCCTTGATTGATTTTCTCTGATATCTAAATTATGTTACTTGTTTCATAATTTTCTCTGCCTCATAAAATTAACTCCATGTCTCTAATTTTGTCTGGCCCATACAATTTTCTCTGAAATTTGTTTCCCATTAGTATCATTTAGATGAATTTTATTTTCCTTATTTGAATTTTTTCTCTCAGTGAATTTTGTAACATTTCTCTAATAAAAGAGTCTCCTGTTACAGATTGATAACAAGCAGCTAGTCAAAAACCCATCAGAGGAGTTCTGTCTTGGCAAAAAGACGAAGAAAGAATTAAAAAAGGCAATTGTCAAATTCAAGGAGACATTACAAGATCCATCTGAAGATGGAGGGAATGAACAAGCAGAAGGCAACACAGAAGAATACGAAGCCAGCAATGGACAAGAACATCAAGCAAGCAGCACAGAAGAAGAAACCAGCGAAGAAAGTGAAGAAATAGAACCAGAAGACAAAGAACAAAATGAACAGAAAGAAGAAGATAGTGAACAAGAAGATGAAGAAGAAGATGAACAGCAAGAAGAAAACAAGGATGAAAGTGATGAAGAAGAAAATAATGAGCCGATGGACCAACAATATGATGGCATTTGTGGCTCGACAATACATCAGCCTGAAGAATTTGAGGAATCAAAGGATGCCCAAATTGCTGATCTATGTCAAAGACTGAAGGCACTTTCTCAATCTAAAAAAGAAGAAGACAGAAATTGGATTGAATTACTTGCTGAAAAGGATATTTCAATAAGAATCATGACATCACATAACTCAGAACTTCAAGAAAAAGAAAGCACAATCCGAATGAAACTAAGGATGTTGGAGGTTGAAAAAGCAGACGATACAAAAACAATTCAACAGTTGAGGTGTTCAAATTCAGAGCTTGAAACTGAAAATGCTAAATTGCATGAACAAGTTCAAGAACTATCCGTCCAACTAGCAACACAACCATACCGAACACCAACACAACTTCAACCACAAGGTCAGTGAAAATCTTGAGCCACAAAAAAGTTATGTCCTTGTGTCAATATAACTCAGAGAAATTTCTATTTATTATAATTTTCTCTGTCATTGGTAATTTTCTCTGGAAGTTATATCTCTCTGAACACATTAGTTATATTTCTACTGCTTATTTCATTTCTCTGTATATTTTCTTATTCCATTTTTGGGGCTTGTTTGATTTTCACTGTGTATAGTTGGAATGTAAGTGGAACAACAACCAACAACTCAACAAGAACAAATGCCACACAAACAACAACCGAAACAAAAGACAAAACTCTGTGGTAACTGCAAAATATTGAATTAAATAAATTTACATATTGAAATATCATCTGTTGCTTCAGAGAAATTTCACTTTTCCTACTATTTTCATTGTCGACAGTCAAAAAAGATCCGACGTCAATGATAAAAAATTTAAAGGCAAAAGAAAGGAAGGAAAAGCAGCATGATCCAGAATTCCAATATCCCAAAGTTGCGAAAGTGACTAGAGCTTCAAAACAAGCTGCAAAGCAAGTTAAGCAAAGCACAAAGGACAAAGAAGTGCTTGATGCTGATGCGTACGTCTTGCCTCAACCTATAAACATCAGAAAATCTTGGGTCTTTCCACAAACTCTTCCAATTTTAAGATTGATAAAAGATCATATAAAAGACATCTTGCAGCACATATCAAATGTGTCTAGGCTTGAGTAAGTACAACAAACAAAATAGAACATAACAAACAACAAATTATAAACTTATGTTGCATTAACAACAATTCAATCCCTTCTTTGTCATCTTGTAGAGCTTTAATTTGGACAAGTGAGTTGAATCTCATTACCTTTGAAGACATTGGAAACCTAATAAAGCAAAAAGAAATTGCCAACAATGTAAGTCTTTCCCTTTCATCAAAATTTCTCTGCAATGTTCCATCAGCCTTTATAAAACAATATTACAATTATAAATAATATTTTTCAGGTCATTGATGGCTATGGAGAGATCCTTTTGGCTGACCAAATGAGAGAGAGACAACAACCAACCTCATTTTTTTTCACATCCATGTGCTTAGTATGTTACTACTATTTTATTTGATTTTCTCTGGAATTTACTTACTACTTTCTCTTCTTAATATACTTCTTGAAGCCAGTTGTGTCACTAGTCATAACAAAACCATTTTTTGATTTTCTCTGAACACAGAATTTCATCAAGACAACAGAAAATCAAACTTTTCGAGTGCCCTTATTTGACAAGCATATTGAAACAGCATGGAGGAACTACAGGTTCCTCCATTTCTTAATAAATACTGGAGGTAATGAGAAGTCCACACATGGAAATCACTGGACCTTGCTTGTCCTGGACAAACAAAACAATTTATGAAGGTTCTACAACTCACTGAGGCCAAGGAGGGATGATGCAGAAGACAAATATGTCAAAGATGCAAAACAATTGGTAACGAATGCAAATTTCTCTGATCCATCATCATCTTTATGTGATGATAATTTCCATAGAATCCCATTGACTTGTCCGTAAATTTCTCTGTTATTTAAAAATTATTTTTTTGCAGCAAGATTACGTGGAGAATTTTTTGAAAGCTTGCCTTGAAAGAGACGCTCAATCACAACCCTCTTTCAAATTAATAAACTCACAAAACACAAGTTACGACTTTGAGTATGTCAACAATGCTCCACAACAAGAAAGCGATTCGTAAGTTTCATACATCTATAGATAAGATAATCTGATTTCCATGTTTCTTAAAACTAACCATACCTATAATTTGTATGCAGTCTGGATTGTGGCCTCTTTGTCTGGCTATATAATGAAACAATATAGCAAGCATGAACCTATCAGCTCCAAATTGTCCACACAAGAGATAAGGTTGATGAGGGCAGAACTCATAGAGAGATTTGTGACCGAAGTTGGCCGGTCATGGACTGAACCAATTGAAATACCTCCAGAAGAACCACAACTGTAATAGTGAAACTAGTGAAAGGAAGACAATGTACATATCCACATAGAGAAAATTGTCTCACATATATGTATATATCCTTTTTTGTTGATACATTGAAGGAATGATGATCCTTGACATATATGTATATATCCTTTCTTGACTAATCTAAATTTCATTCTTTTTTTATTTCAACTAATGTAAATTTCATACCTATCGATGGTTAAATATATATATATATATATATTTTATTGTCATTCACAGAGAAAATTGTTTGCCAGAGAAAATTGTCTGCAGAAATTTCTCTGGTATGAACTACCAGAAATTCACAGAGAAATTTAACTTGTATCGTCCCAAGGGGATGCCTATATGATCATGTAATCTGTAATACTTTGTGTTGGTACAAAACAATCATCAAACTCAACAAAACACAAAGCATATAGTAATTTTATCTGCCACTGAAAAATTTCATTGCATGAATTTCAAATTTCAGAACACAATGCCCAGATAGTTTTCTCTGATGGTGGAAAATTTCTCTGGATGAATTTGACAGAAAATGGAATTTCTAAGTTATGAATTTCTCTGGGTTGAGTGATTTGGAGAGGAGGAATTTCTCGGAGTTGGTTAGGAAAATTTCTCTGGCTTTGACACAAATTTTTGAGTTGAAAGTGAGTCTAGAGAAATTCTTCTCTGGTCCGGAGAAATTCTCAACTCAGAGAAATTCCAAAAGAGCTTAATTTTGTTTCTTGATTGTACAATAATTTTTTGTATGCTCTGTCTAGTGTGCACATTTCTTGAAATGACTGATATGAAGCTACCAGAAATTTGCATATAAATTTAACTCATATCTCGCCAAAGAAGGTGCCTATATGATCATTCAATCTCTAATGCACTGTGTTAGTACAAAACAATTATCAAATTCAAAAAACACAATCACACAGTACTTTAGTCTGCCATTGTCAAATTTATGTAAATGAATATGAAGCTTCAAAACACAACACACAGAATTTTCTCTGCCATAGGAAAATTTCTCTGGATGAATTTGATAGGTACTACAAACCCACTGCCTATAGTATATATCAACAAACACACTTTAACTGATATTGAAAAATTTCTCTGGATGAATTTGATTGATATTATTATATACACTGTCTAAAAAATACATTTCACAAAACAAAATACACAAAGTAATCATCAAATATATTATTCAATCAATAAAATGTATAATCCTTAACTATTTAACAAAGGTTCCTTGCATGTCCTCTTATTATGGTGACCAATACTCTCACAACGACTACACTTAATCACCCTTTTAAACTCTCCAATAGAAGCAATTCTGTTCTTCTTCGGCTTCCCAGTAGGTCTCTTGCTCAATGGAGGTAAAATCATAGCATCTTCAATGCTACACACAGGTTTTTCAACAGTGGGAACTGGGCCAATCAAAAACGAGTATGCTTGACGATACATTCAGCATGAAAAAATAGTTCAACAAATGAATTCAAATTCTTTCCACTCCTAAAAATTGCAGCAACAGCATGTTGACATGGATACCCATTTATTTCCCATTTTTGACATGAACAAGTTCTCAACGCAAGATCAACCATAACCGAAGGAAAACAATGCACTTCAAAGACATTATCAGATGATAAACTCACATTCCATGTCCTCCCGTCCAAAAAAGACTTCTCCAACACACTATCCATATGAGGACACAGAATTTTATTCCATTTACTAGAGAGCAGCCTCCTATCAGACCTCATATTCATGATTTGCAACCGTATCATGTCCACCAAATTTGTTATTGGCAAGTGCCGAGCTTCTCGTATCCATGAATTGAATGACTCAGCAACATTTGAATACATCTCACCATAACGTTTCCCCGCAAAATATGCATCACTCCAATTTTCATATGGTAAACTTCTCAAGAAAACACTTACAATATCTCCTCCCTCACTTTTTAATTCATTTAACTTGAAATAAAATGATGCCTTTGTTGGAGCATATGCACATTCTGAAAACTTGGACACAATCGTCTCCCTAACCAAATTTGTGTTTCCGCATGACAACTTATCCCTCAAATTTCTCTTTAGATGTTCCAGACAAAATCCATGAAAGCAGTTAGGGAAAAACCTAGCAATTCCCTCCACAATTCCACAATGTCGATCTGATATGAAACTTATCACCCTTTCTGATCCTAATACTCCACATAAATGTTCAAGAAACCAACACCAATTGTCTTTATTCTCAGCATCAACAACAGCAAAAGCTACAGGAAAAAAACCTACAAAACAAATAGGAACAAGCATATTAGATATACACATGCAGAGAAAAATAGAACAATAAACAACCAGAGAAGTTTGACACTGCCAACATCTAGAGAAAATTCACTTAGTGCCCAACTCCAAAGAAAATTCACACATTGGCAACATCCAGAGAAAATTGACTTAGCTACAGAGAAAATTCACACAATCATAATATACAGAGAAAATTCACTTAGTGACCACCTACAGATACAATTCACACAATGACAACATCCAGAGAAAATTCATACACTGACCAAAATCCAGTGAAAATTCTCACAGTGGCCACAACAAAGAAAATCCACACAGTGGCCAAAACCAGAGAAAATTCACATTCACTCAATTCCTACATGTATAGAAAATTCACATACTTAGATAAAATTAGATATATTTACAATTACCTTCATTCCCATCTTTTCCTGTTGCAGCAAGCATAACTCGTTTGTATCGTCCTTTCAAAAATGTTCCATCAAAAAAAAGTAATGACCGACAATATTTGAAACCAGCAATGCATGCATGAAAAGCCACAAACACTCTTTTGAAACGCTTGTTATCTTCAAAATCTAACTCAAAATGACTCCCTGGATTGTTCTTCAATGCCTCATCAAAATACCACCGTAATTGATCAAATGACAAACAAGAATCCCCATATGTACTACATTTTGCTTTTTCAACACCCAACCAACCACAGTTATAACTGATTGAGACCCCATACTTGTCTTTCATTTCTTTCACAACATCCACTGGACGAGTTAAAGGTTTTGCACTTACCTCTTTAAGTATCAGCCCATAAACTAAGCTGGAAGTCATCCTCGAATATTTACTCGTACGAACCGCCACACCACACGTATGTTCATTGTTCAAAGTCCTTATGTAAAAGAACCCATTTGTTTTTTCAACAGAAGCATGTACACGCCACATACATCCCCTTAATTCCTTATATGCATATTCTGTCGTAACCCTCAGCTTGTCATTTTTAACATACGTAAACTGAAAACCAACCTCAATAGCATACTTGCATAAAAAAGTACGGAACTCAACCACACCACCCTCAAACTTTTGTCCAACACTCGTAATATTATTCCGCCAACTAGCCGACATAACACCTTTTCTTGGTGAGAACAAAACTTAGAGAGTGAATTCCTTTCAACATCCACCAGTCTATCACACTCACCATCCACAACATCTACCCAATTAGACCCCACTTCATCCTCTTTATCAGAAGTACTACATCTACTAACTGAAATATCAACTATATCAACACCGCGTGCACAAACAACCCTCAACATATTCAAAAAATCAATATTATTTCGAACCATACAATTCGGATGGCCCAAAATAGAATATGAAATACACAGTCTCAGGTTTCAAATTCT